AATAAATACTGCTCAAATATAGTATTCATTTATAAAAGCAAATATTGTATGTGGGCAAATGAAAACACTAGGGTAGTATGTGCATTTGGTTTAACTTGGGTTATTTCTATGGCAGTTACTGAACTTTGTTAAGAATATAGTCAGCAACATTAAATCCCTTTAAGGTAGGAGTCTCTGTGTTTTCTTTTAGCTATAAAGAGGATGCGATGAGGTTATCAAGAATTCGCCATGATCAGCCAGTGAAGCCTCTGGATCGAGCTGTCTTCTGGGTGGAGTTTGTCATGCACCACAAAGGAGCCAAACACCTTCGCCCGGCTGTCCATGAGCTCAACTGGTTCCAGTACCACTCTCTGGATGTGATTGGCTTCCTGCTGGCCTGTGTGGCAGCTCTCATCTTCATCTTCACAAGATGTTGCCTTTTTTGTTTCCAGAAGTTTACTAAAAGTAGAAAAAAGAAGAAAAGAAACTAATTGTATCTATTCAGAAAAAAGAAGAAAAGAGACTAATTGTATCTATTCTGAAGCTCAGGCCGTTGATGATTCCAGCAAGAAGAGTTTGTCATGGGTTAGAATCTTTCCTAGTGTGGCCAAAAAAAAAAAAAAACTTTAACAACTTACTTTCTCAAAGTTTGTTTGCAGTGATTCACTTCCTGATTTAGACATGAAATATTTCAGCTCCATGGAAAAAGCACTTGGGAAAAAATTATAATGATGCCAAATGCATTGATTCTGAAAACTATTGGCAAAAGTCATGCTAAATTTAAACTCACACAAAATTTTCTTACCTTAACTGAGGTTCCCAAGTTTTCAGTAGAAACAAACTGTCACAAAGCCTCCTCCTGATACATTGCATTTTGCATATATTTAGCCTGCCTTGCCTTATTTTGGAGTAGAATGTGTATATTTTATTATTTCCTAATAAAATGTTCAACAACTAGGTTTGTACAAACGAGTCATATTTTCCATTTGTTTCTGGGAGGTAATGGTTCTGCTCTCCTCACTGCACATCCAGGCTCCACATCACCTGTCCATCATCAAGCCACGTTTATCTTACTCTACAAAAGGCAATATCTCAATGGAATTAGGAACACATTTTTTCTTTGGGGGGGGGGGTCCGGTCGTGGGGCCTGTACTCTGGGCCTGGCGCTGTCCCTCAGTTCTTCAGCTCAAGGCTAGCACTCTACCACTTGAGCCACAGCGCCACTTCTGGCTTTTTTCTTTTTGCTTATGTGGTGCTGAGGAATCGAACTCAGGGCCTCAGGCATGCAAAGCAAGCGCTCTACCACTGAGCCACCTTCCCAGCCCGAAACACATTTTTTTATCTACCTGTTTTCCACTATAAGATTAAAATACTTTGGAATCCCTTTGATAGGTTTTTTCCCTTTTTCCTTATAGACATTTATAAACATTAAACTGGATGTTTGCATTAGTATTTCAATTTCTGATAGACATCCAGCCTCAACTGCTCAATTTTCCCTCTTCAGATGAATGTGCACACATAGATAGTCCCACTTTGTGCAGAGTGTGTTGTAAGATTCAGTGAGTTTGTTTATTGTTCTAAACTTACTCATTTTCCAATTCAAGTCTCATATTCCCTTTTCCTCTGGAGTGGGAAAAATTAAAGTAGCTTAATGACATAATGAAAATTTGGTTAAAATCCAAAAACTTGGGAAATTGACAATAGAATTCTTCAATTAATTTTGGAATACTTGTCAGATTTTTAAAAATGTAAGCATCTCACTTCTGGTTGTTCATGACTGTCATCTTGATTACACAGGGATGGATATTCAGAAGATCACAGTTTGAAGCAAGCAGAAAATCTATGAGACTCAATCTCCAAAATTACCAGCAAAATTCAGAGTTGAAGTCTTGATTAAAATGTCACATTGATAGCCCAGGAAACAAGATAACTGAATTGGAAAAAAGCCTGCATTCAAACCCTAGTATTGCCTCCCCCCCAGAAAAAAAAAAGAAAGAAAGAAAGAAGGAAGGAAGGAAAGAAAGAAAGAAAGAAAGAAAGAAAGAAAGAAAGAAAGAAAGAAAGAAAGAAAGAAAGAAAGAAAGAAAGGAAGGAATTACATAAGCCTGGATTAAATTTTTCCAAACCTATTGTGTAATGCTTACTAATTTTCATCAATCATGTAAAACTTGGAAGAATTAGAATCAAATGCATGAACAATAAATTCAAAAAATATATTTCATAAATATATATATAATTCATAAATATATACATTTACATTAAATAAATATAAACAAATAAAATATAGAAAGATAACAAATAGAAATTAAGTGAATTGTGAGGTGCTGATAGGTCTTAGCTACTTAGGAGGCTGACATCTGAACACACACACACACACACACACACACACACACACACACACACAGTGGAAGTAGAGCTTTGGCTCAAGTGGTAAGAGTTAGCCTTGGGCAAAAAAGCTCAGGGAGGGCTGGGAAGGTGGCTCAGTGGTAGAGCGCTTGCCTTGCATGCATGAGGCCCTGGGTTCAATTCCTTAGCACCACATAAGCAGAAAAAAAGCTGGAAGTGGCGCTGTGGCTCAAGCGGTAGAGCGCTAGCCTTGAGTTGAAGAGTTGAGGGACAGCACCAAGGCCCAGAGCTCAGGCCCACAACCAGACCCCCTCACCCCCCAAAAAAGCTCAGGGACAGTGCCCAGGCCCGGAGTTCAAGCCCCAGGAACTATACATAAGAAGAAAGAAAGAGAAACAAAGAAAAAGAGAGGGAGTGGAAAGAGAGGGAAGGAAGGAAGGAAGGAAGGAAGGAAGGAAGGAAGGAAGGAAGGAAGGAAGGAAGGAAGGAAGGAAGGAAGGAAGGAAGGGAGAGAGGAAGAAATTAAGGTAATAAATCATTTTTAATATAAGATATATATTCATTGTTATTGTAAAGGTGATGTACAGAGGGGTTTCAGGAGTGTTTCAATGCCGGAACCAGCCGGCAACAAAAGGGACTCCTGATTTAGGGGGCGAGGATGGAAAAATAAAGACATAAGTCAAAGGATGGAGTCGGGAGGTCTGCAGCTCAAGACTGCAGCCCCGTTTATTTTTAACTCTCCTTATTTATATTATTAGAAGTCAAGAGGTAACCTAAGGTCACCATAGTGCAGAAAAGCAAGAAAAGTCTTTAATAAAAACAAGGGTGCAGAAAGAAACAAGACAAGGTCAACTGATAGAAAGTAAAGCAAATTCTACAGACATAGCAAGGCAAACCTGGACACCTGGTGTTTTTCATGAAAGCCAGTTCCTTGTATGTGCCTTCAAGTGAGCACAAGGGTCAAGATGACCTTGGAGCTTTACTGTCAGCTCCCAACATTTCAACAGTATTTAAAATACTGAATTACGCAAGATGTCAAAAAACATTCCACTCATTTTTAATACAAGGAAATGAAATGTTCTATCATCAAGGTGAATGAAATTAATAAGAGCTAAAATTATGGGTGAGGGAAAATTCTGAGTACACCTACACAACTTGGACAACATGAGTCTCAACAACATAGCCACCTGACAGAATGTGTCCTGCATGTTTAATAAAGACCTAGTATTTCCTAACACCTCTGCCTAAAAAAATATGGATTTTAGTAACCTAAATACTGGTCTTAATAGCTGGGTGCCGGTGGCTCAAGTCTGTAATGTTAGCTACTTAGGAGGCTCAGATCATAGTTCAAAGTCAGCCCAGGGAAGATCGGTTCTAGAAGACACTTCTCTCCAATGAACCATCCAAAAGCTGAAACTGGAGTTGTGGCTCAAGTGGAAGAGTGCTAGCCTTGAGTAAAAGAAGATCATGGATGTTCAATCCATCCGGGGAAAATGAGCCCCTCCCCACTGTCTTTCCTCAGTGCCCACGTGGCCCCTTCGCTAGAAGCCCAAGCCCAGCATTCCTATTCCAGGTAACTGACACACCTGGGGACAGTGGGAGGTCCCTAGGTTCTACTGTCTTCCTTCCAGCTCACCTCCTTCCCATCCTGGTCCTGTCCATCATCATCATTACCCCCTGGCGCCCTTGCAGCCTTTCCCAGGCCTCTTGCCGCTTTCTCCAGCTCCCTTCCTTCTCCCTTCCCCTGCATGCACCTCCATCTTGTGCAGGTCGACAGTATTTGTCCCCCAATAAACTCTTTTCTGCCTGAACGATGTGGCAGTCGCCTTTCGGCTGAACCTTATAAGGGACAATGGCCCAGGCCCTGAGTTCATGCCCAAGAACCAGGAAAAAAAAATACTGTAATTAAAAAAAAAAACCTCATTTGTCATTAATAACAACCAGAGTTTTGTAACAAATAGAATGGTATTTCTTATGAAATAGATCTAATATATCTTAATATCAACTTTTTAAATACACAGAAGATAAGCATTTTATAATATATATTAATTTTTGATACTTATTTCTTAATCCACAAAAGATGATCTTTTCCTCTCTCCTTGATGGACATAATATAAAACCGAGATTTTATCTCAGTAATGAAATCTATATTGAATGGAGCATTCGGGGGCTTTGTCTAATTGAGGAAGCTTCTCCACTGGGAAAGAAAGCTGAAAATATTGCACGTTCTAGTCACGCCCTGGGAAACAGGAGGTCTGTCCCCTCCTATTACCTCCCATGGCCGCTCCTCCCTGTGGTTAATCTGTGACATCTGGGGTTAATACTTCTTCCTAGGAACAGAAAAGCTGCAGACCAGTTCAAACTCGATGAAGGAACAAAGGCGGTGCAAATATGTATGTTCTTAGCTTTACCTTCTCAGGAAAACCCCAATTTAAGGCTTTGTCCATGAGGGTTGCACTCATACATATTCTTAAATTGAAGGGATTGGGGACCCAGGGGTGATAAGCTTGCACCTGCGCAGATCCGGTCCAGAAAACTTAATCCTGCATTTCCCTACAACCAGCCCCCTGTCGTTAGGGGGCTGTTGTTAGACTCTTCCCACACTCCAGCCTTTGAAGGCTGAAGCTGTAATGCGCTTGCGCTGGAGCCAACTGTTTCCCTGCGCTCTGAGCTTTCACTTTTCGTTTTAAAATCCTTGCTTCTGCGTATGTGTTCTTCAGCTGCTTGTTTGCCATTCCAGGAATCTTGCGATCTTTCATCTCTGAGACCACCCACAAACAATATCAAGACTTGCGTAAGGCCCAAGGGCTGAAAGGAAGGTTTGTGAACTTTATGTACATTCTGAAACTATTCTTTAAAAAGCTTGTTATTCATACTAACAGGAAGCGTCAGGATCGGTAGGAGACGGAGCGTAGAATGGTGATAGTGTCAGCGGATGCAGGTGAAGGTTTGTGAAGTTTCCCTCAAAAAGTAAAAAAAAAAAAAGTAGGGACTCTTCACTTAGAGTCCTTGACTTCAATCACAGAATAATAATTTCTGGACAAGTCACAATGGTAAGAGAACTTGGTGTAGCTTTATTGAGTAAGTAGTGATGGTTTATAAAGAGGACTCAAAGGATAGTTTACTGAAAGTCTAAACTCAAATACCATCATGTCTAACCTATTGCTTTCAAAAGAATGTTTGGAGAAAGACCGGGAAATTCTGACAAAGTTTGAGACAAGCCATAAAGGAATACAGAATTAAGACAGATATAAAATAATTTTAACCATAAGTAACTCATCTTTATCAATGAAGTGATAAATTTAAATCTTCAAACAAGCTGAACGTAATACAATCTTAGTAAAACTATAATGATAGGTAACCAAAAATGAGTCAAAATCTTATATAATACCTTATTTCAAGTCCTCTAACTACATCCTAAAGCAGCAGGTAAAGTAAAATAATACCTAACACACAGTAATTCAGTCTCAGACAATCATTGCACAAATAAATATAAAAGTGATAGTACATAACTTTTACAATCTTTTTTTAATTGCAAAAATACTGTACAGAGGGATTACAATTACATGGGCAAGATAATGAGTACATTTCTTTTTTATGGTAAATTGTGGCTTTATTTAGAAAGAGATTATTAGTACTTTTTTAATTTTTATTTTTTATTGTGAACATAGTTTACAGAGGGGTTACAATTACATGGGCAAGATAATGAGTACATTTCTTAGCAAGCATTGTAGCCTCCTCCTTTGTTTCCCCTTCCCATCCCTTCCCATCCTCCCCGCAGCCCCCCACCCAATCCTTCCCGCCCCTCCTTCCTTCCCACCAAAGTTGTAAAGTTCGTTTCGACATAACGACTTACACATCTCAACTTTTACAATCTTGAAGTCACAAAGTTCTGTTTATTCTTTTGCAGATCATTCCCACTATAGGTGCACCTTGAACTGTAGTGTTGTACTTTAATTTCTTGTTTGATTTACTCATATGTGATGAAAAAAAAAATCCAGAGAGGAATAAGAAATGACAACAGAAAAAATAAAACCCCATTGCTCCAAGATGTCTTTGAAATGGACTTCACTTGTTCTTCTGATACAACTAATATGTTTTCTTGCTCCTGGAAATTGTGGGAAGCTGCTAATGTTGCCTATGGAATACAGCCATTGGATCAATGTCAAAGTAATCCTGGAAGAGATCGTGCAGAGAGGTCATGAGGTGACTGTTCTGGCATCATCTGCTTCCATTCATGTGGATTCTGGCAAGGCATCTGCTTTTAAATTTGAGGTTTATTCTTCATCTTTGGATAAAAGTGACCATGAAAATGTTTTCAAATATTGGATCAATGAATGGATATATGAACTTCCAAAATATTCATTTTGGAAAGCCTATTCAGAAATGCAAAAAACATTCATGCATTTTTCAGATGTTAATGAAATGCTCTGCAAAGATGTAGTGTTCAACAAGAAACTTATGACAAAACTACAAGAATCGAAGTTTGATGCCCTTCTGGCAGACCCTGTGGTTCCCTGTGGAGAACTGCTGGCTGAGCTACTCAATATTCCTTTTGTGTACACTCTCCACTTCTTCCCTGGCTACACATATGAGAAATACTGTGGAGGGATTCCAGTCCCTCCTTCCTATGTGCCCGTTCCTATATCAGGACTCACTGATCAAATGACATTCATGGAGAGAGTAAAAAACATGATATTGGTGACATTTTTTGACTTTGGATTAGAAATATTTAATGAGAAGAAGTGGAATCAGTTTTATAGTGAAGTTCTGGGTAAGCTACATCATTAACTGTTACTTTGAAATCTGAACTTTTCTGCCCCTTTGTCTATGAGTTTGTGTATAATAAAATGAGAAGTGTAATAAAATCAGAAGATGGACTGAAAGTAGAATCTGATGTTGTAAGAATGGAAAACGGCCCATTCATCTCAGAGGACTATGGAAGGATTGCTTTATGGAAGCCTGTTAGAAGCTTGTGGCCATCCCTGTTCAGAATACCACTAATTTTTTGGTCATAGAAATTGCTTACCCATTTTACTCTACCTTTCTTTCATGTTAAAGAACTGTAATGAAAACCTTTAGCAAATGTCTCACTATCCATTACAATATTTGTCTAAGAGGAGAAATCTTTTGCAATTGTTTTTCAGTATCTAAGCTATGACTTTCAACAAGTACATATGTATGTATATATGTATATACACACTTGTGCATATGTACATGTGTACGTGTGTGTATGTGTGTGTAGTCAGTTAATCTTATCAATCTCTTAGTAGGAATGAAGTCACTAGGAATTTTGTTGTACATTTTGAAAGCTCAGACTTGACTTGGAGAACCCAGGATCAAGAAAATTCCTGGCCAAACTATAAAAACTACACTGTATTCTTCTTGAAAAACTGCATCTGACACTGTAATCGTGTTAATAAATGAGTCTAGTTGATAAAATGGCTTTAAATTCATATTTGCTACTTTCATAGCTTTGAGATAGTATCATTTATATAATATGTATGTAGACATTTATCTTTTAGCAAAACAGAATATACATCTTGCCTGCAGTATTCTAAGTCATTTCAGGGAATCACATACCATAAATTTCCTGATTACCCTGCTTGTTGTATTTTCTATTGTATTCAGGGAGACCCACTACAATATTTGAAGCAATGAGGAAAGCTGACATATGGCTCATTCGAACCTATTGGGATATTGAATTTCCTCGCCCACTCTTACCAAATTTTGAATTTATTGGAGGATTCCACTGCAAACCTGCCAAACCTCTGCCTAAGGTAAGCCTGTTCATTAAACCTGCCTTATTACTGGTTTGTACTGTTGGAAATGACTCTGCCTTCCTTATTCAAGGAGCCTGGCTGGATGTGAGAGAGATAAGAATTGTGATAAAGTATCCTGTTGAATATGGACTTGCATTTCTATCCCATCACAGCTGACTGTGTTTCATTACCACCAAGAAACAAAAGTAGGAGAACCAGTTTCATTTGTGACTATGGTCAGTCAGTGTAAGCTCTCATTATGGAATTCTTTTTTTTTTTTTTTGGGGGGGGGGGGGTCCAGTCGTGGGGCCTGAACTCTGGGCCTGGGCGCTGTTCCTCAGCTCTTCAGCTCAAGGCTAGTGCTCTACCACTTGAGCCACAGCGCCACTTCCGGCTTTTTTCTTTTTTGCTTATGTGGTGCTGAAGAATCAAGCCCAGGGCCTCAGGCATGCAAGGCAAGCGCTCTACCACTGAGCCACCTTCCCAGCCCCTATGGAATTCTTAAGAAAGAATAAATCATTCATTCAAGGAATATTTATAAAGTGTTTATAACATGTCAAATAAATGCTGAATATGTTCAGAAAAAATAGAGACACGATTCTGAAACAACACCTATTTTATATTCACTTCATTTAAGACCTATGGAAAGTAATAAGCAATTATATGAAAGTGTTACCCTAGGGAAATACATCAATATTAAGGAACATAAAGAAGACATTACAGATAACATCTTAGATTTAGTTCATAAATTTAAAGCTTAACTGGATAATGTACTGAAATAGATGAATGGATGGGGGGGAGGGGAGAGTAAAGAACAGAATCATAAGCATAGTACTGAAGAGCTCCAAGCTTAGTTTAGCAGGAGGAGGATAATAAAAATGCAAATGAGCCAGGCTCATGCTTATAATCCTAACTACTCAGAAGGCTGAGATATGACGATCATGGTTCGAAGCCAACCCAGGCAGAAAAGTCCCCATGAGATTCTTAAACCAGAAGTGGCACTGGGGCTCAAAGTGGTGGAACACTAGCCTTGAGCAAAAGAGCTCAGGGACAGAACTCAGGCCCTGAGCTCAAGCCCCATGACTGATCAAAAAAAAAAAAAAAGTAGATGATTCTGGAGAGGTAAGTGGGAGCCAGAGGAGTATTGGTTTGAAACACTTATTAATGCCGTTAGAGCAAGTAGGCAGGGTGGAACACCTGTAATCCTAGTTGCTCAGCTGACTAAAATCTGAGGTTGTAGTTCAAAGCCAGCCTAGGCAGGAAAGTCTGTGAGACTCCTATCTGATTAACCACCAATAGGACAAGAGTGGAGCAGTGGCTCAAGTGTTAGAGCACTAACCTTGAGCAGAAAAGCTCAAAGATGGCTCCCAGACCTTGGGTTCAAGCACCAGGACCAGCACAAAAAGAAAGAAAGAAAGAAAGAAGGAAGGAAGGAAGGAAAGAAAGAAAGAAAGGAAGAAAGAAAGAAAGAAAGAAAGAAAGAAAGGAAGGAAGAAAGAAAGAAAGAAAGAAAGAAAGAAGGAAGGAAGGAAAGAAGGAAAGAAAGAGAAAAGTGTTGAGTGTGGAAGCAGGGGGAGAGGCAAGGCTCAAGTGGCAGAGTGTCAGCAGGACAAGCAAGTGAAGCATGAACTTGAGTTCAAATTCTCGTAGTGCACAAAAATGTTAAGCATGGAAAGATATGAGATTTTTTTTAAAGAATACCTCAAAATCAAAGGAGGAGGCTACAATGCTTGGTAAGAAATGTATGCATTATCCTGCCCATGTAATTGTAACCCCTCTGTACAGTATGTTCACAAATAAAATAAAAAAAATTTTTTTTAAAAAGAATACCTCAAAATGCATTTACCATGTTAGATTGCACAGGCAGAAGATGATGAAAATGGAAAACATTTAATTGCATGAATAAAGACAGCAAGTAATAGAAACTAGAGCAGAAAATTCATAGAGATGATTACGCCCACTCATATGTTAATAGTCCATCTTCATGCTGTGTTATGTAGAAAATAATCAATACAGATAAAACACCAGTGTAGAATTGTCTAGGGATATGGGGGCTGTTGTAATCATTTATGCTTTTGTTTACTTTGCAAATTATCTCATAATTGACTAAACTTTACCATGTACATTGTCTATCCATACCCTTTACAGGTAGGGTTTTAAAAGTCAACTTAAGTTTCTTATTTAGCATTTTGTGGCAACTGAATATTCCTGTGCAGAATAATTTGAATTATGTTTGAGCTTGAAGAGGAGGAAGTCATATCGCTGAAAACAATCTACCAATGATTTTATCTTGGGACACACCAAGTCCAGAGCTGGCAGGGCAATGCCTTCTGTTACAAATGATGATTCATTTGCTAATATGTTGGACCAGATACTTTAGCAAGGATTCCACTTTTAATAGGAACTAGTCATCCAACTGATCAAGGATGTATTCTCAAGGAAAATCCTAGAAATAGATATTCTGCAGCTTAAGTTACAAGAAAATATATGAGTTTTGCCTGAATTCAAGAAAAGAAATGCTAACATTTTATTGTAATTTTCCATACCCTTGTCAGCTTAACATGTAATCTTTCTCAGAAATATAAAACATGACATTCATATTATTTTCAGGCAAACTCATTGTTTCCTTGCTTTTACTCCAGCATTTAAATTATGCCTTGGGATCCTAAACTAGTACAGCTTAGAACATGATAGGGTTGTTTGTCTTAGCAGAATGATATTTCTATTTCTTCCAAATACTAATCACTCAGAATGCCTCATTGACACTGCCTTGGGTAATTTGGGCTTCAGAATAATAGGAGCCTGACAAAAGGAACACAGAGAAAATACATACTGCATGTGTAGTATAGACATATATGTTCTTACCTTTGGTTACTGAAAAGAGACTTTTTAATTTGCAATTACTAAGGAATTTGATCAGAAAATAACATGATATTTCATAAAGTGGCACATAAGATCTAGTATTTTAAATTGTCATCCTACTTTTAAGAAATAAGTAGAGTCAGTATAACTTATGGAGGAGATGGGGAAAAACCAGTTGTTTAAGGATACAGGTGGACCTGTTGCAACAAAGAGAAGTACAAGTTGTCATGTCCAAAACGAGCTTTACAGTGTCGGTGCGGGGGGGGAGGGGGGGGGGGGACGAGAAGGATTGGGATTGGGGTGGGAGGGGGGAGGCTGGGAAGGGATGTGAAGGGTAAACAAAGGAGGAGGCTGCAATGCTTGGTAAGAAATGTACGCATTATCCTGCCCATGTAATTGTAACCCCTCTGTACAGTATGTTCACAAATAAAATAAAATTAAACTAAAAAAAAAAAAGAAATAAGTAGAAAGCAAACATTTTAATAGTATCATTTTCATATGATCCTAACACATTAATAATGTGCAACTTAACATGCCAGTGGAACAAGCAAGTCAAGCATGAGTAAAGGCCCCAAGTTCAGATTCTGGTACTCCCCAAAATGGTAATATGACTCTATTTATGCCACAGACCGGCTCTGTCGGGACGACAGAGGACACCTAATGGAGGAACTGGAATAGGTGGGGAGATGGCAAACAGACAACTCACACACAAGAGGAGTGGATGCTGAGTGCGATTTAATGCAGAGGATAACAAGCTTTTATAGCAAGTGTCTCCATGAGAAACGGCAAAAGGTTACACAATCTTGCTGCAGGACTTCGTTCTTGGGTGGTCACCAGCTGGTCACCTGATCTTGTTTTTTGGATGACGAGCTATGACTATAGGCACTTGTTTTCGGCTTTACCTCTATTTTTAAGAAATACAATGGGTTTCGATGTTTATCACCAATTAACCATTAACCAGAGCATATGGGCAAGGTGCTGAACAGAAAGGCATGAACTCTAGTACTTCATAGTTACTTTTGTTTAGTTTTGTACTTTATACCTTTTAAATCTTTTCTAAGCAATTGTGCTTAGAGGGTTCCCAATTTGTGGCCAAAAATCATGATATTCAGTATACTTAGTTAAATCTGGCCATATATCAAATTTAAGCTCATAGTGTCTTTTCTGTAACCCTTTCACATAATCGTTTACTTTTTTCTATAGAGGCCTTAACTGTCCCATAAGATCTTTCTTGTTCCTTCTTTAATAGTAAGCACCAAGGAGGTCTGGATCTAGCAAGTCTCTTAGTAAAGGAAAGAGAGTAACAGGAACTTCTTTCTCCTAAGTAGTTTTCCCAGCAATTGCCATCCTTATCATACACACCTGTAAAAGGCTATGGATTTAGGGGAAGTCTCTGGGGTCCTCTAGATAATGGAGGATCCCACCATTTTCCTCTGATAAGCCATTGTCATCTTTTCTCTACCAACCTTTTAGGAATCTTATTTAGCTTTTGGTCTAAATATCCCTCTACATCTTTCTTATCTACAGGATATCTATGTGAATCTATTGTATATGTTTTTAGGATTAAAGGAAAGTCCCCAGTAGCCATACACTCTTTCTGCTCTAGCCACGCCTACAGCTTCTTGTAAATCTCTTACAAACAATTCCTTCTGCTGAAGTGACGTCATGAACCCTCCAATACTTTTATATTTACTTATGACTTGTCTACTAGCCTCCATAAGAGGGGATTTCAGGGTAGCACTTAACTCTGGTGAGTTAGTCATGTTTTTAAGACACTCATCAGATGTTGGAGTCGTCAACACTCTTAAGAAAGAGCCTTGAATTAGGGAACGTTGAGCATGAGTAAGTACAATGAGCAGCAGGAACAGTAAAAGATTAATAGGCACTCCTATACAGTGAAGAAAAGAAAAACAGGAACAGAAACACATCTTTCCCAGGGGCTTGCCAGCCTTTCCAGGAGGTAGGCCTCTTTGAAGCCCCATTCTCTGAGGTAGACTTCGGTGAAGTCCCATTCTCAGAGATAGGTCTCTGTGAAGCCCCATTCTCAGGTCTGAAAGCAGGTTTCCCATGCTAAGCAGACTCCACCGGAGTAGGCATGGCATTTGCCCCTTTTTTATTTTTTAGATGTGCCAGAGAAAAGGCTGGCAAGCCCCTGGGAAAGATGTGTTTCTGTTCCTGTTTTTCTTTTCTTCACTGTATAGGAGTGCCTATTTGTTCCTGCTGCTCATTGTACTTATGCTCAACGTTCCCTTATTCAAAGCTCTTTCTTAAGAGTGTTGACGACTCCAACATCTGATGAGTGTCTTAAAACATGACTAACTCACCAGAGTTAAGTGCTACCCTGAAATCCCCTCTTATGGAGGCTAGTAGACAAGTCATAAGTAAATATAAAAGTATTGGGGGTTTCATGACGTCACTTCAGCAGAAGGAATTGTTTGTAAGAGATTTACAAGAAGCTGTAGGCGTGGCTAGAGCAGAAAGAGTGTATGGCTACTGGGGACTTTCCTTTAATCCTAAAAACATATACAATAGATTCACATAGATATCCTGTAGATAAGAAAGATGTAGAGGGATATTTAGACCAAAAGCTAAATAAGATTCCTAAAAGGTTGGTAGAGAAAAGATGACAATGGCTTATCAGAGGAAAATGGTGGGATCCTCCATTACCTAGAGGACCCCAGAGACTTCCCCTAAATCCATAGCCTTTTACAGGTGTGTATGATAAGGATGGCAATTGCTGGGAAAACTACTTAGGAGAAAGAAGTTCCTGTTACTCTCTTTCATTTACTAAGAGACTTGCTAGATCTAGGCCTCCTTGGTGCTTACTATTAAAGAAGGAACAAGAAAGATCTTATGGGACAGTTAAGGCCTCTATAGAAAAAAGTAAACGATTATGTGAAAGGGTTACAGAAAAGACACTATGAGCTTAAATTTGATATATGGCCAGATTTAACTAAGTATACTGAATATCATGATTTTTGGCCACAAATTGGGAACCCTCTAAGCACAATTGCTTAGAAAAGATTTAAAAGGTATAAAGTACAAAACTAAACAAAAGTAACTATGAAGTACTAGAGTTCATGCCTTTCTGTTCAGCACCTTGCCCATATGCTCTGGTTAATAGTTAATTGGTGATAAACATCGAAACCCATTGTATTTCTTAAAAATAGAGGTAAAGCTGAAAACAAGTGCCTATAGTCATAGCTCGTCATCCAAAAAACAAGATCAGGCGACCAGCTTGTGACCACCCAAGAACGAAGCCCTGCAGCAAGATTGTGTAACCTTTTGCCATTTCTCATGGAGACTTTTGCTCTAAAAGCTTGTTATCCTCTGCATTAAATCGCACTCAGCATCCACTCCTCTTGTGTGTGAGTTGTCTGTTTGCCATCTCCCCACCTATTCCAGTTTCTCCATTAGGTGTCCTCCGTCGTCCCGACAGAGCCGGTCCACGGCATATTTATGTCATATTATGTATTCCTTCCCAAACAAAATGAGCTATTGAAGCTTTTCTATATTCCAACAATGAGAAGAGTGAGGCTGAAATCAGTAAAATACTCCTTTTGTAATGGCACAAACAAAAAACCCTTGGAATTAACTTAACCCAAGATGTGAAGGACCTGTATGATCAAAAATTTTAAAACCTGAAATAAGAAATTAAAACATATTTAAGGAAGTGGGAAAACCTCCCATGCTCCTGGGTTGGGAGGATTAACATCCTGAAAATGGAATACTGCCCAAAGCTATCTACAAATTCAATGTAATACTCAACAATATTGCAACAACATTTTTCAATAATATAGAAGAAGCAATGTAAAAAATCATATGGAACAATAGAAGACCCAGAATAGCAAAAACAATCCTTAGCAGTGCTGGAAGAATATCAATACCAAACTTCAAAGTCTATTATAAAGCTGTAGTAATAAAAACAGCTTGGTAATGGCATAGGAACAGGTCTGAGTGGAATGGAATAGAAGAGAAGAATGAACCCACTGACTTATGGTCACTAATCTTTGATAAGGGAGCCAAAAAAACAGGATGGAAGAAAGACAGCATCTTCAAGAAATGGTGCCAGCAGAATTGGAGATAAACATGTAGAAAGATGAAGTTAGATCCTTACATGTCACCCTGCACCAAAATCAAGTCCAAACTGATCAAAGACCTCAATATAAGACCAGATATCCTGAAAATATTACAGGAAGGGATGGGGGAAACACTAGGGCTCCTTGGCACAGGTTGAAACTTCCTAGACAAAGATCCAGACACACAACAAATCAAAGAAAGACTGGACAAATAGGATTGATATCAAAATGAAGAGTTTCTGCATGTAAAGGACATAGCTAGCAAGATAAATAGAAAACACACAGATTGTGGGCAGCTCATTACTAGCTATACATCAGACAAGGGCCTCATATCTAAAATATACTTCGAATTCAAAAAATTAAACTCCCCACCAAAAATTAAACCCCTGAAAACAAATCCTCCAAGAAAAGCAATCCCATCAATAAGTGTGCTAAAGTTTAAAAGACAGACTTCTCCAAAGAAAAAATAATAATGGACAATAGGGGTTGGGAAGGTGGTTCAGTGATAGAGTGCTTGTTTTGCATGCATGAGGCCCTGGGTTCCTCAGTACTACATAATCAGAAAAAGCAAGAAGTGGGGCTATGGCTCAAGTGGTAGAGCACTAGCCTTGAGCTGAAGAGCTGAGGAACAGCGCCCAGGCCCAGAGTTCAGGCCCCATGACTGATGAAAGAAAGAAAGAAAGAAAGAAAGACAGAAAGACAGAAAGAAAGAAAGAAAGAAAGAAAGAAAGAAAGAAAGAAAGAAAGAAAGAAAGAAAGAAAGACAGAAAGAAAGACAGAAAGAAAGACAGAAAGACAGAAAGAAAGACAGAAAGAAAGAAAGAAAGAAAGAAAGAAAGAAAGAAAGAAAGAAAGAAAGAAAGAAAGAAAGAAAGAAAGAAAGACAGAAAGAAAGACAGAAAGAAAGACAGAAAGACAGAAAGAAAGACAGAAAGAAAGAAAGAAAGAAAGAAAGAAAGAAAGAAAGAAAGAAAGAAGAAGGAAGGAAGAAAGAAAGAAAGAAAGAAAGAAAGAAAGAAAGAAAGAAAGAAAGAAAGAAAGAAAGAAAGAAAGAAAGAAAGAAAGAAAGAAAGAAAGAAAGAAAGAAAGAAAGAAAGGATAATAGACACATGAAGAAAAGTTCAGCAGCTCTGGCCACAAAAGAAACGCAAATCAGCTCTTCTGCCCCCCCCCTCCGCCTCCACCGTCCCTACAGCACAGCTCAGAGCTCCCCCCCACCTCCACCCTCCCTACAGCACAGCTCAGAGCTCCTGCTGAAGCCAGCGCTGCCGGCTCCCCCTGGCCGCCATCATGATCATCTACAGGGACCTGATGAGCTGTTCTCTGACGTCTACAAGATCCCGGAGATCGCAGACGGGCTGTGCCTGGAGGTGGAGGACAAGATGGTCAGTAGGACAGAGGGTACCATTGATGACTCGCTCATTGGTGGAAATGCCTCCGCTGAAGGCCCCGAGGGCGAAGGTACCAAACGCACAGTAGTCACTGGTGTGGACATCATCATGAACCATCACTTGCAGGAGACCAGTTTCACAAAGGAAGCCTACAAAAAGTATATCAACGATTATACGAAATCACTTCAGGCGATCTTGAAGAACAGAAACCTGAAAGAGTAAAGCCTTTTATGACAAGAGCTGCAGAGCAAATCAAGCACATCCTTGCTAATTTCAGTAACTACCAGTTTTTTATTGGTGAAAACATGAATCCAGATGACATAGTTGCTCTTCTGGACTACTGTGAGGATAGTGTGACCCCCATTTCTGATTTTCTTTGAGGATGGTTTAGAAATGGAAAAATGTTAACAAATTGGGCAACCATAACTGGCTGCTGCTTGTCATCCACACAACAACAGGACATAAGACAAATGAGACTGATGTCATTTGGAACTCTTCATTTCTTTTGACCATGGTTTATTTGGAGTGGAGACATTGTTTTTTAAGAAAAAAAAAAGTTATGTAGGTTGTCTAAAAAGTGCGTTTGAACTCAAAAAAGAAAAAAGAAAGAAAGAAATGCATATCAAAGCAACTTTGAGATTCCATCTCATTATAAAGATAACAAATAATAACAGGGATGTGGCCAAAAGAGAATGCTACTATACTGTAGTCAGGAATGTAAACTTGTTCAACCACTCTAGAAAGCAATATGGAGGTTTCTCAAAAGGCTAAACATAGTTTCCCTATAACCCAGAAATCCCATTCCTGGGCATTTACCCAAATGACCACAAATAAGCCCACAATAAAGCTACCAGCACAACTATGTTCATTGCAACATTAGTTACCATAGCTAAGATAACCAACCCAGATGGCCTCAGTAGATGAATGGATCAAAAAAATGTGGTCTATACACAATGGAATTCTGTGCCTCCACCAAAAAGAATGGCATTGTCCCATTCATAAGGAAATGGAAGACTTGGAAAAATCTATATTAAGCAAGGCAAACCAGATCAAAAGAAACATAGGCTGCATGGTTTCCCCCATTTGCAGTAATTAGAATATGTCTAGGATATTTTTAGGAGAGGATCACAATGGCTCAATAGCAATCTGGATGTGATCATATAAAATGATGCTTATCAAAATGAATTCCAAGAAATGGAAGCAAAAGTGTTTTTTTTTATTGTACTATTTGTGGTTATTTCTTTTTTCTTTCTATTTTTTTCTTTGATGTTTCCTCATTGTTACTGTTTTTTACATGTATACCCTTTGTCTTGTATATAAGTTTATCTGATTTGGGGAAGGGAAGGGGAATCACAGAAATGTGACAAATAGAGAACTGATGTAACAGAGATAGTAGTCATTAGGTTGGAAATGAACTTGACAACTTGGGGAGCAGGAGAGTGGGGAGAGAGAGAAAATGAGGAAGAGGTTAACATAGTTCAAAAAGAAATGTATTCATAGCCGGGCACTGGTGGCTCATGCCTGTAATCCTAGCTATTTAGGAGACTGAGATGTGAGGATCATGGTTTAAAGCCAGTCCAGGAAGGAAAGTCCAAGAGACTCTTATCTCCAATAAACTACCAGAAAACCAGAAGTAGTGCTGTGGCTCAAGGGGTAGAGCACTTGCCTTGAGCTGGAGAGCAGAGGGACAGTGCCTGGGCCCAGAGTTCAAGCCCCACTACTGACCAAAAAATAAATAAATAACAAAGGAAATGAACTCATTACCTTACTGATGTTACTATAACCCCTCTGTGAATCACCTTTGCAATAAACAAATGAGCTATTGAGTAACTGAAAATAGCCAATACTCTAATAAAACCTAATAATACTTGAATTTCCCTCAGATTTTTAAAACAATGTTTTCTAGTATGTTTGCTGTGTTGTTGCTCTTTTGTAAGGGAAAACCTTTCTTCACAGGAAATGGAAGATTTTGTCCAGAGTTCTGGAGAGGATGGTGTGGTGGTGTTTTCTCTGGGTTCAATGGTCAGTAACTTAACAGAAGAAAGAGCCAACACAATTGCATCAGCTCTTGCACAGATTCCACAAAAGGTAAGATTAAAGTCCATGTCTTCTTTAACCATTCTGAATTATTCCTCCATTGTAAAATAACAAAACAACAACAACAAAACATAGCACCTTAAAAATAACTCTGAAAAAGATATGAGTCCAGAAACTTTTTGTGTCAATAGTAAATTTGGAGGGGGAGAATGCCTCAAACAGTAGCAAGCACAAGGCCATGAGTTCAAATGCCTGTATAGCTAATACAACAATAACAAAAACATTACAGTATCTCTAATTCATCTTATAAATTGCTTTTAGAGATATATGCCAGATGTTTTTCTTGATAGTAACTTTAGCATCATCGCATCATCACTGTAACCAGAAAGATAATACCAAATATGCAATAAAAAGTAGTAGATATTTTAGAGTGATTAGAGTGGAACTGCAGACAGATACACCAAAGTCACTTAATTATATTTTTTTCATTGAATTTGGTTGAATTTTTTTATTGTGAAAATACCGTACAGAGGGGTTACAATTACATGGGCAAGATAATGAGTACATTTCTTATCAAGCATTGTAGCCTCCTCCTTTGTTTCCCCTTTCCATCCCATCCTCCCCCTCCCCCGCCCCCCCCACCCAAACCTCCCCCCTCCCACCCCTGCACCAATGTTGTAAAGTTCATTTTTGACATAACGAAAGTCACCAAATTCTGCACTGCTGTTCCTTTCAAGATTCTTGATGACGCCATACACACACACACACACACACACACACACACACACACACACACACACATATATACACACACATACATTTTTAAAAAGATAAACTACTCAAAGTAAAATTAATGTATGGCTAATTCTTTCTAATTTAGTACACTTTTTTATGTTAGAATTATGACTGTCCCCAAATTTCATAAATGATTGAATTTGTCACAATACATTTTTATGAATATCATAACTCAATTACCATTAGTTGATAATAAATGATGAGAAATGTAGAGGTATTCTGTTTCCTTCAGACCTTTGGTAGTTCGTATAACTTTAAAATATCCTATCAAGATTCCTTATCTATTCATGTGGAAAATATTTAACTTACAAATCAGTACTGTAGAATTCAATCATGCTATAAGTTGACATTTGAGATATTGAATAATATTTTCTCTACCTAACAGGTTCTATGGAGATATGAGGGCAAGAAACCAGATACCCTAGGATCCAACACTCGGTTGTACAAGTGGCTCCCCCAGAATGACCTTCTTGGTAAAATTCAAAGGAGCAAACAGTGAAAACACAAAAAATAGCCAGTTGTGAACATAATGGCTCAACAGAAAACACATTTCTTGAATATTTATTATTTCAAACCTCAGAAATACCACTAACTTGTCTTCACATTTTTCTAATATTAAAGTAAATAAATCAATTGCAAAATTGTCACTGTAGTGTACACACTCACTTCTTTCTGGGCAAAATCAAAGTGTCTTTATTTCAGATAGAATTGCTTCTCCAAGCATTTTTTCAGTCACTTTGTGGATTGGCCCTCTATTGTTTGTTTCAGACACTTTCCTTATTTCCCTACTGCAGAAGAATTTTGAAGGTCACTGTCAATGACATCCTCTCTAGTATTACCGGGGATTCTGCATATTCCATGAAGCTAAATCAACAAACTTTCTCATGAAGTGGTAACACACTTCTCCATGAACTGTGGCCTGTATTTCTTGTGATTTTGGCATGACACCCACCACACTTCATGTTACCCTACATAGCAAATTTGTTGACTTTGCTATTTCTTTCTGAGAACAAGTTCGATATAGTACCTAAATTTTTATTTGGCATATGTTGCACCTTTTACAAAAATGTTGCTTTGGTTTTCCTCTTGTCAATCCTGTTTTCATTTTCCAATCTGAAGTCACACATTACCTCTTCAAGGGAGCCTTGAATTGGCTCTCCAGTATATCTAGAGGGCTGTTGCTCTGAGATAGCAAAACCAATTCAGTGGAGCTTCATTACTATGCTCTCTACTACCTAGAAAAAGCCCTTTTAAAGCATTCTGTTATACTTTCCTCATTTTGTTCCTGAAATTTTAAATGGATAATTTTGTGAAAATTCATCCAATTACAGGTCATCCCAAAACCAAGGCTTTCATAACTCATGGTGGAACCAATGGTGTCTATGAGGCCATCTACCATGGAGTCCCAATGGTGGGCATCCCTTTGTTTGCCGATCAACCTCATAACATTGATCAAATGAAAGCCAAGGGAGCAGCCATAGGATTGAACTTTATCACATTGTCAAGTAAAGATCTTCTTGATGCCTTGAAGACAGTCATTAATGACCCTGTGTGAGTGTAACTATTTTTTCATGAGATAGTATTATAGATGAGTATGTATTTCATTCCTATTTGTAGGAGGATTTTATTGAAAAAAGTTGTGTGTGTGTGTGTGTGTGTGTGTGTGTGCGCGCGCGCTGGTCTTGGCTTGAAGTCAGAGCCTGAGTACTATCCCTGAGCTTTGTTGCTCAAGGATGGCAAGCTACCACTTGAGACACTTGAACTCCACATTTCTCTGGTGATTAATCAGAGATAAGTATGTCACAGACTTTCCTTCCTAGGCTGGCTTTGAACCACAATACTCAGATCTTAGCCTCCAAAGTAGCTAAAGTAACAGGTATGAGACACTGTCACCCAGCTAAATGATTTTTTTAATCAAAAGAAATCTGTTTTTATATTGAACAAGAAAGTTAAAGTTACATTTGATCTTCTTTAGTCATTGTATAATAAGCTAATGAAATAATTTCAAAATACACAAATAATATTGGTTATATATAACTATTTTTAATAAGATTACAATTCTTAAAATATGACTGAATCTACACAGAAAAAATGATGAAATTGAAGGTAAAGTACAAATTTTTTTAATTGTAGACCTGAAATTTCTCAAAATTGTCACTTTTGGTGTAATTTTAAGTTCCATTGTTCACAGATTTAACTGATGACATAATACATATAACATTTACATAAATATCAAACTGTAGTTAATTTATAAAATTTAAATGTATAAACTATTTTTACAGTCATGAAACTTCTTTTAGCAATATTGGAATTTGAATTCTGAACCTTGTCAATACTAAACAAATGCTCTATAGCTTGATGTGCAGATTGGAAATGCTGTTTCAATTATATGATTTGACGTTTTCTGGCAGTGCTAGAGATTGAACTACCACTGCCTTGCACTTAATAGACAAGTACTCTATCACTGGACCTACATTGCAGCCCCATGAAACATTTTTCTTTCTTTCTTTTTTTTGGTCAGTCGGGGCCTGGATGTAGGCCTTGAGCTCTGTTGCTCACGGCTAGCACTCTATTACTTTGACCCATAGCACCACTTCCAGTTTTCTGGTGGTTAATTGGAGATGAGTCTCATGGACTTTCTGGCTGGTTTTGAACAGCGATTCTCAGATATAAACCTGATTAGCTAGGATTACAGTGTGAGCCATCAGAACCCTGCTCCTGGAACTTTTTTTTTTTTTTTTTTTGTCTGGCGTGGGGCCTGAACTCTGGGCCTGAGCACTGTCCCTCAGCTCTTCAGCTCAAAGCTAGTGCTCTACCACTTGAGCCGTAGCACCACTTCTGGCTTTTTCTGCTTATGTGGTGATGAGGAATCGAACCCAGGGCCTCATGCATGGAAGGCAAGCACTCTATCACTGAGCCACCTTCCCAGATCAACATGATTTTTTTTTTTTTTGTCCATCATGGGACTTGAAGTCTGGGCTTGGGCGCTGTCCCTCAGCTCTTCAGCTCAAGGCGAACGCTCTACCGCTTGAGCTACAGCGTCACTGAAACTTTTATATTATATAATTGAAGCATTTTTTTTATCACACCAGTAAAATACGCAACATGATATTCTAATCATTCCACATGCTTGGGTTGCTATGTTAATACAGTCTGGAAAATACCTTCTGACATATGACCTTTAAACTAAGACCTCAATAATGAAACAAAAGCGAGCCTTGTGGTACAGTAGGGAATAATGTGTAAGTAAAAAGGGAGAGGACATTCAATTTTTATAAAGGTGTCTCAAAAAACACTATTAACCTCAAGGTACAGCTAGAAAATGCATGTAATGGAAGTAAAGAGTGAGCAGAGGGCTAGGAATGTGGCTTAGTGGTAGAGTGCCTAGCATGCATGAAGCCCTGGGTTCAATTCCTCAATACCACATAAACAAAAAAGGCCAGAAGTGGCATTATGATTCAAGTGGTAGAGTGTTAGCCTTGAGTAAAAGAAGCTCAGGGACAATGCCCAGGCCCTGAGTCCAAGCCCTAGAACTGGAAAGAAAAAACAAAAAGCATAAGCAAAGATAGAGTGACAAAGAGAAAAAGAGCAATTCTAGCCACTTGGATTCATCAAATCCAAGAAGAAAGTTGATTTTTTTTCTTTAAAAAAAATTTATAGGGGCTGGGAATGTGGCTTAATGGTAGAGTGCTTGCCTAGCATGCATGGAGCCTTCAGTTCGATTCCTCAGCATCATATAAACAGAAAATGTCTGAAATGGTTCTGTGGCTCAAATGGTAGAGTGCAAGCTTTGAGCAAAAGAAGCTCAGGGACAGTGAGCAGGCCCTGAGTTCAAGCCCCAGGACTGGAAAAAAAACAAACCCATACACATAATTTATAACAATGTGGTAGTTCATAAAGATCTGAGGTAAATTATTCGTGTCTTCCATTTTGCTGCATTCTAATCCCTTGGGAATCCTTGCTAGCTCTTTTTTAAAATGTATTTTTAACTTTTATTGTTATTGTAGAGGTGGTATAGAGGTGAGCTGCAGTTATATAAGTCAGATAATGACTACATTTCTTTTTTCTTTTTTTTTTTTTTTGGGTCCGGTCATGGAGCCTGAACTCTGGGCCTGGGCGCTGTCCCTCAGCTCTTCAGTTCAAGGCTAGCTCTGTACAACTTGAGCCACAGCGCCATTTCCGGCTTTTTTCTTTTTGCTTATGTGGTGCTGAGGAATCGAACCCAGGGCCTCATGCATGCAAGGCAAGCACTCTACCACTGAGCCACCTTCCCAGCCCCTTGACTACGTTTCTATTTGGACAATGTCACTCCTATCTCACGCTTTCCCAGGTTTTTCCCTCCCATGCCCACTGCTACATTTGTTCGCCCTTTGTCCTTCCATTTCTGTCCCCCCTATAACCCTCCAAATAAACAAACAAGACCAAGAAAAGAAAGACAACAATGAAAAAAAACCCTCTTGTTTCCATTTCCTGGAGTTCATTTCGATAAATCTTATTTTACATGATTAGCTGCACATAGGCATTGCACTTGTGTGTTCCTAAGATTATCCTCATCTCACTGTGGGTGAGTATCTAGAGTTGTTTCTAAGAAGAAATAGAATAAGTACCTGAAAAAGTAATATAATTTGAGCAATGCTGGTAAAATATTCTTGAGCCTAGGTAGAAAATCAAGGGCAAAAGAGAGCATTGTAATGAGGCTTTTCCCTCATCAGGATGTGATCCCTCTTCAAAAGCTTGAAAACAAGAGATCTCCAGTTGAATTTCTACTTGCATTTTCTGGACATAGAATCTCTTTATTATTTCCTTTCATGAAAAAAAAAAGAATAATAACTTTCTTTCATGATATTTCACTTTACTTCACAAATATTAGTCAGTCAGAATATCCAGTTAAGAAACAAACATTGTATATTGGTGAGCAAAAATAAAACATTAGGGTAGCATGTCCATAAGAGTTAATTGAAAAGATTTGCATGGTACTTTTAGAAAGCGTTACTTGGCTTAATATGTTTAGGAAATTGCTTCTATGTTTCTCTTTTAGCTATAAGCAGAATGTAATGAAGTTATCAAGAATTCACCATGATCAGCCAGTGAAGCCTCTGGATCGAGCTGTCTTCTGGATTGAGTTTGTCATGCGCCACAAAGGAGCTAAACACCTTCGCCCGGCTGTCCATGACCTCAACTGGTTCCAGTACCACTCTCTGGATGTGATTGGCTTTCTGCTGGCCTGTGTGGCAACTACCATCTTCATCTTCACAAGATGTTGCCTCTTTTGTTGCCGGAAGTTTACTAAAAGTGGAAGAAAGAAGAAAGAGGACTAATTGTGCCTACTCCTGAAGCCAAAAGTCCTGTGAATGCCAGCAAGAAGTTGCCTTTTCCAGATGATTACAACTTCCTTTGCCACCTCAAATATTGCTTGCCATTATTTACCTTTTGTTTAAGACCTGACTATTTCAGTCCAAGTGAAAAGTGCTAAGAAAACCAAAATGAGGGGCTGGGAAGGTGGCTCAGTGGTAGAGCGCTTGCCTTGCATGCCTGAGGCCCTGGGTTCCATTCCTCAGCACCACATAAGCAAAAAGCAAAAAGCCGGAAGTGGCGCTGTGGCTCAAGTGGTAGAGCGCTAGCCTTGAGCTGAAGAGCTGAGGGACAGTGCCCAGGCCCAGAGTTCAGGCCCCACGACCGGACCCAAAAAAAAAAAAAAGAAAACCAAAATGAGTCCAAATACACTTACTGTAAAATTTGTGGGTGAAAATCCTAAGTGAATTCTCACAAAGATAGTTTAAGTACAGGGAAGTTCCCAATTTTATTTTTGCTTTTTGTGTCATTACTTGGGACTTGAGCTTAGGGCCTAGAAGCTGTCCCATAGCTTTTTCCCTCAAGGCTAGTGCTGTATCACTTGGGCTAAAACTCCACTTTTGACTTTTTGATAGTTAATTATAATAAGAGTCTCACAGACTGGCTTTGAACCATGGTTCTCAGCCCTCAGCTTCTTTTTTTTTCTTTTTTTGCGGCTTGAGCCACTGTGCCACTTCCAGTTTTATGGTGGTTTATTGAAGATAAGAGTCTCATGGATTTTACTGCTTGGGCTGGCTTTGAACCATGATCCTCAAATCTCAACCTCCTAAGTAGCTAGGATTACAGGGATGAGCCACCAGTGCCCAGCTAGACTTCAGCTTCTTGAGTAACTAGTATTACAGCCATGAGCCACCAGCATCTGACTTAGTTCCCAAGTTTTATACAAGATCATTGGAAAGCTATTCACAATATCAATAGGATTTTCAAGTGTTCATTCTGTTCTAACTCTATGTTTGTGCAAAATATCTTACTTTTTTACTATTTCTAAAGCACTCTATTGTGTAATTTGTGCACATATGACTCATTTTTCCTATTTGGAATCAGTAGTACTGTTTGTGTTTCCATGCACCTCCATCCTTAGTATCCCTCCTTTCTTAAAGCACCTGACAAGATGCTTCTCACACTACAAATAAAGTCATTCTAAATGGAATTCGAGTTTTTTCTATCAACTTTCCACTATAAAATTAAAATACTTTGAAAATTGTTTGGTTTATGGGTTTTGTTTCTCTTAGACATGTAGAAATGTTGAATTGGTTGTTCCCATTCTTATGTGAGCTTCTGAGAGTAGATACCTGGCCTCAATTGTTCAAGATTTCCTCACTCCAAATAAATGCATACACATATATGCCGACATTTTATTTGTTTTTTTTGGGGGGGGGGCGGGGGGGGTCCGGTCGTGAGGCCTGAACTCTGGGCCTGGGCGTTGTCCCTCAGCTCTTCAGCTCAAGGCTAGCACTCTACCACTGAGCCATAGCGCCACTTCCGGCTTTTTGCTTTTTGCTTATGTGGTGCTGAGGAATCGAACCCGTCCTCTGGCTTGCAATGCAAGCACTCTACCACTGAGCCACCTTCCCAGCCCTATGCCCACATTTTATACAACAAGACACAGTAGCAGCTTCTTCACAAGTATATCATAAATTCAATTAGTGTGTGGAATATTTGAATGATGACAATTGTTCTAAATTTCAAACTTGACACTATAACTCACTATAATCAGCAGTGATGGAAATTATTTTTAATTGAGTAAGTTGTATAGGAAACAGGTAAATCACACCACAAATACATTGCAAAGTCCACATTTAAGGAAATACTTCCCCATCAACAAGATTGATCCAAACTGAAAAATATCTGGTTGTCTTCTTGGGTATGAAGACAATCATCCAATCTCCCATGAAACATTCTCAATCCTTGGACAATAATTTATACATATATATATATATATATATATATATATATACATATATATGAACAATTGGCAGAATAAATGGGTTGGGAGGGATAGGTGAAAATGTTAAATGGGTGACACCGATCAAGACGCTTGGTATTCATAAACTGCTTTGTTGAATGGTACCTCCTGTGTACACTGCTTAAAGATAATAGAGATATTAAAATAATAAAAGATGTAACCCCTCTGTATGGTATTTTCACAATAAAAAACTTATTAAAATAAAATTAATAAAGATGACAAAAGTCATTGATACAGAAGGCCAATGTAACTACATTATCACAATGTTACATAATTTTCATTATCCACAGGTTCTATAAAGAGTGAGATAAAGTGTCACGCTGATAGATCACAATGACTGCATCCAAGTCTTTAAATGTCCTGAGTATAGATATTTCTTGATGTTCTTTTAAACACACTTATAATGCACAATGTGATTTTTTATTGTTTCCTTGTATATTCTTCCCCCATGGTATAACCTCTATTGTCACTGTATTTGATTCCGGTACCCTGCATCTTGTATATACATTTTTCTAATTTGGGGAGGGGAAGGGAAATAACAAAATGCTGAAATAAGGATACAGGATGACCCATTGTAACAATGAGAAGTACAAGACACTATGTTGAAAGTGAACTTTACAACTTTGGCGGGGGGGGAGGTGTTGGGGAGGTGGAGAGGGAAGGGATGGTAGGGGGAAAACAAAGGAGGAGGTAACAATGCTCAATAGGAAATGGACTCATTACCTTGCTCATGTAACTGTAACCCCTCTGTACAGTATCTTTACAATAAAAAATATATTTTAAAAAAGGAATTTCCTGTGTGAAAAGTAAACTATTATGATAACTATTTCAGTTAATTGAAAAGCAAAGGTATACACAGAAGATAAGATAGTACAAAAGGTATTTCTGGTTTGTAAGTGTTACGCTAACTTTGTATGTTCAGAAAGAATGTTTTTCAGGTGAAGTGTGAAGTTACTATTCAAATGATATTACATTTATACAAATATTGATAATACATTTTAATGATATTACAGTAAATTAAGAATCACCAAAGTTTCCCCTGTAATTGCTTCCTTTCCATTGTAAAAAAACTGAAGATGTTGTATGTATCACAAATATTATCAAAGCTTAATGATTATTTCCACCAACAGAGTATTGGTGAGAGGGTATTGAAAAGTCTGAACTACACTGTCATTTTTACATATCACCTTGCTTCATTTCCATATGTTGGAATGGGCTTAAACTTCATGCTGCTCGTGGTGTTATTCTAAAGAAAAGTAGGTCAGGACCCATAAGCCCTGAGTCGAAATATCTTACCCTACCAACCAAATGGTCTTTGGTCTATTTGGAAGATCAAGGAAGGAAAAATTAGAGAGGAGAGAAGAAGTAGACAATCTGATGTATTTCCAAATAAAAGTATGGAGATAGAATCCTAAAAGGAAGGGATAGAATCCTTTGAGTGAACCCTGGGCATTAAAAAATGAACCAAACCTTCATGAACTAATTTGTGAGAAAAGAAATTCTAAGTAAATCTCCATACTTCTCTCTCACAAAAGGTGAACAATAAATTTGAAAAGTGGCACAGTAAAATATAGACATGTAAAATAACACAAAATGTTTAGACTCATACATTAGAATTTTTATAGATTATTGTAAGAGAATTATAACACCTGACCATCAATTTCTGAAATATTTCTATTTGCTATTAAAAGATCACTTACCTAAGGTAAAAATGTGAACTATCATGGTTTTGTGCCAAACCATGATTAAATGTAATAATAAATAAATAAGGAATATGTACTCTATTTACATCACAATTGTAATAGTTCTCCCTATTTATCATCATTTGCATTTTGTAGTTTGTCATATGATGAGCCTTTTTTTTAATCATTTGATCCTTTTTATTTGATCCCTTTTTTTATTTTAGCAGAGTGACATTTGGAGCATGACTTCTTCGATCTGAGTGAAGGGCAGATGGATTTCCAGGGGTGCATGTACAATTTGTTAGCAGGGAAAACCATCAGTGGAAAGTTATTTGAAAGAGTCAGCCTGGGGCCTCGTGCAGGGTGCTGTCTGAACTTTGCAGGGAGGCCTCATCTGACTGACCTCATCTGACTGGCCTCATCTGACTGTTCCAGGAGGAATAGTCTCAGGAAAACATCCAGATCCAAAGCATGCCCAAATGAAAGCCCTGTTCCACCAACTAAAATCTCGTGGTATATGGACTCAGTTCTGATTAAATTAAAATGATGAGCTTTTAAATATGTAATTTCTGAACCCTTTGGAATTCTAAAATACTATAATTAAAAATTAAGTCATATAATAAGAGGTTTTCATTGTCTAAAAAAGGTTACATGAATTGTTGATGGCCAGAATTCAGATAACACAGGACCCACCACCTGACTATATAAATGGACACTCCAGAATGACCTTCTTGCTAAGACTAGAGAGTCTACAGGGAAAACATGACTAAAAGTCTCTGGAAAATTATAGTTAAATTGAAAATAAATGTATACAATTTAATTAAAAAAATTTCAACTGGGTGCTAGTGGCTCATGCCTGTAATCCTAGCTAGTCAGGAGGCTGAGATCGGAGGATAGCGATTTTAAGCCCCAAGTTCAAGCCCCAGGACATACAAAAGAAATTAAGAAAAGAAGGAAGGAAGGAAGGAAGAGGGAGAGGGAGGGAGGGAGGGAGAGAGGGAGGGGAGGACAGGGAGGGAGAAAATTTCAGAAATAATCTAAATTCTCTGTGCTTATATTCTAATTTTACAATGCAAAAAATAAAGAATTATCTGTTGACATTTTGTTATGTGGAGGAACATTCACCATGAGCCAAATTCAGGTGTCTTTAGGTCAAGGGTAATCTCTCAGGGAATATTTCAAATCTCGCAGATTATTTCTTCTAAAGCTGTAAGATTGTGTTCCTATAACTCTATACTAATCCTTTTACCAACTACAGAGCTATTGGAAATTTTTTTTTAAATTAATTTTGTTTTATTTGTGAACATACGGTACAGAGGGGTTACAATTACATGGGCAGGATAATGCGTACATTTCTTACCAAGCATTGCAGCCTCCTCCTTTGGTTTACCCTTCACATCCCTTCCCAGCCTCCCCCCTCCCCCCCAATCCCAATCCTTCTCCTTCCCGCCCACCCTTCTCCCCCCCCCCCCCCCCCCCCCCCCCCCCCCCCGCACCGACGTTGTAAAGCTCGTTTTGGACATGTAACTTGTACTTCTCATTGTTGCAACAGGT